TCCCAGCATCTTTCCGGCCACCAAGGAAGGCTACAGCCATTTGTCCAATCGTTTGATGGAAAAGATCGAGGAAACCAGAGAACTGGAGGAACAGATGCAGCAATACGAGAATCTGTTTCAAATGCTCAGCGATTTGAAGAAACAAAAAATGGAGATGCAAGAAAAAGAGAGGCACAACGAATCTCGTGCTGAGAATGGATTGAGAAAAAGTCCGGCCTCTCCTGGTGCTGAATCTGGTTCTTCGCATTATTCAGATGATGCTTTTGAGGATCCTGAAGAGGATTGAGATCCAGATTTTGCATCGGATTGTGGCCGATAGTGGCCCATTATTTGAATTCGAAATGTTGGAATTCTGTCTTAGATTCAATGCTTGTTATGTTTCATGCCGAATTCAGTCTCACAGGCGCGTTAGAAGAAAGCCGCGCTTTGTTTCACACTAGAAAAAAACCATCAGATCAACATCATAAAATGGAAAAGGCTGAAGTGGGATGCTGGGGCAGATCTTGGCCTTGCCCAATTGGCGGCATCATCGCAGCTTCGGCAGCTCACGTTGCATGAAGTGTGGCCGCTCCTATCGCAGCTAGGAAGAGCATGAGAGCATTAGAGAACGACCAGACCAGTCCGGACATTCTTCGCCTTGAAAAAACCCAAGAAACCATGATTTAGTAGGGAATTGCAACAGAAATGGGACCATACAATGGGGATGCTTAATATTGGATGGGATTCCAATGATACTATGCAATTCACCAGGTTCCACCCTTTAAGATTGACAAAGCCAGCCACGTCGATGTCGGCGCAATTCTGCCCAACTTGTCGCTCCGACCTGGTCTTGGGAGGCTGTCTTGGGATGCTTGGTTGGGACGTGGTGGGCCAGGTGCCAACCTTCTGATCGTGGAGATTGGACGGAGTTCCAGCTCCTCCTTCAAATGCAGGACTGAACAACGCGCCAGGTATGAGTGTAGAGTTATAGAATGTTAGATATGATATGATACGATAGAAATTATGATAGATATATCAGGTTAAAGTTTAATGTTGACAAGATTGCCAAGGCAGCTTGGCTGATTCATGTATGCTCATGTTGGTTTCAGCGAATCCGTTTAGCAAGGTGATGCAAAATTCATGCAACATCGCGTTGCCTTACTGTATGTATCCATGTCCATGATATTCTGCCTTGTAATGCGTGGCCGGCCAGGTAGCACCTCTGATCACGCATGTCAGCGTATATCCGCCTACCAATTCAGATGTCCAGACACATACACATGAAAGCACCATATGTGATGCTTACAACCTCATTTTGTAAAGACAGGCCCTGCAATCAGACCCCATGGTCGGGATAGGGATGGCTTGGACAGATGGGTTGAGGGACGCGCAGCATATCAAGTGCACATCACAAAAACTGCAGTAGACTACGGAAAACACATGGGAAATCACGTTTTTTTCTTTATGAATGGGTCATGAACAGACCTTGGGACATGACATGACCCACATCCACCAAGACGTGGAAAACGTCATCATTTTCCCATAAAAGGGGGATGGGTCACCCATGGTCACCCGTGAATGGGGATTGATCCATGTTCCCAGTGGATGGGCGACATTGGATGACCACCTGCTGGTTCTTCAGGACTTGCCCCTATGTCTACCAGATTCGGGTGCGGTCCCCGAAGTTTTCAGGCTTTGTCCCCACTACGTCACTACATGTTCATATTGACCGGAAAAGCCACCATTTGAAATTGATATACTGTAATTGATGTCCAGTATCACCATAAATGAAATATAAATGAGTAGGATCTCATCATATTTCAACCATCCCCAAACGCTATGTTAGTCACTGGGTGGCTCCCATGATTTTCCCCACGAGTTTCCGAGGAAAAGCTGACCTCCAAACAGATGATCGTCCGAAAGGAGGTGGACGACGTGCTCGGTGGAGCGGAGGCGCTGGAAACCGGTGACCTTCATCCTGAGGGAGAATTGATATATGAAGATAGATAATATATGTAAATGTATATACATAATTCTACACACACAGACACACACACATATATATATATAAATATACATACATGCGACCAGCCCCAAACAAGATTGATTTTAGGAAATGGTCAGTACTTAAGACTTGGATTTTACTGTTCTGCATCTGTTCGGCTTGGTAAGTTTGGATGACACTTGAGATAATATAGTAGGAGCATTTCAAAAGTAATCCTCTAGATGCAGAATATGTTTCCACATGACTAGCCATTAAGAAATGCGTCACTATGTAGATGCATCTGTATTTAGAACTATTTAGACATGTGCTTCCACAGAGTGTCGTTACAGATGTGCACCTATTTACAAATTCAATCAATTTCATATGAATCAACTATCCACTGGTTAGCAAAGAGCGATTTGAAGCTAGGCGGCGTATTCATATTCCAAATTAAATAGGGAGCCACGAATTGAGCTACGAATTGAGTGTCCCAACTTGATGATAGTTGAATGGGTCATACAAATTCATACAATATGTACATATCTCAACGGCCATTTCAGGACCTAAATTTGAGGTACCTACCATATATAAGGCCCATTTTTGGGGGTTAGAATTCAGGCAATATCCCCACAAAATTGGTGGCCAAACATATGGTCGGTACCTGAAATTGCCGCTGAATGATTGGTCGCCCACTGATTGAGAGGATATCCCTACTATATTAAGATGGCTTCCAATTCACAAAATCTAAGTGAGTTCCGCACATCCAAGTATAGCCATATATATATATGTACATATCCCAGTAAATCCCATTAACTCACGTGTTTTATAGATAAATCACCATGAAGTCGCCATGTTTTCAACTTGCGAAGGCCTGGAAGGATGTGGACCAGTGCGATGCTCACTGCCTGCGCCTGAGCTACCATCGAAATCAGATGTTTTCTCCGTTGTGATAGGTAGGTAGTAGGATGTGTTTTGGCATGTAGGGATACAGATGGATACAGCATCTTTGTTTCTGGTGATTGTCACGTGCGACCAGACGGTGGGAAGCAATATCTAGAAGTTGTTCATCATGTCTGCATGTTTGTTACTGTGTGTGGCATACCGACCACTTTTTGGCTTTCTTCAAGCATACCCTCCACTAATCAAACGTGGCAATGGAAAATCCATGAAAATCATTGAACATCCCTCATTTAATTTCATTGATAGATGATTTTCCCAACTATAAACCTCCATTTCGCTCAGATTTTCCAGCCAGCCATGATGACACTGTTGGGGAGTAGTTTCCATGTGCCACGCATGTGCCACGCCCGGTAGGTCCGAAGTGTGGCAATGGCCAGGCCTATTTCCGGCAGATGCAGACGCGCTCGGCAGACGAGCCCATGACCACGTTCTACAGGCGCTGGGCTGGCGCTGGAATTTGGAAGTTATCAGCTCGGTCAAGAGCCCTCCTCCTTGATGTACCATGATATACCTCCCGGAATTCATGGGATGTAGTGGAGATAATCATTGGGATAATAATTCTCATCAGAATTTGTCTAGTTGGTGGTTTCAAACATGACTTTTATTTTCCATTTCATATATGGGATGTCATCCTTCCCATTGACGAATTCATATTTTTCAAGGTGGTTATTGCACCACCGACCAGATATATACAATATCCAGGAAGTTGTTAGTTGATTTTGTTGGTAGATGTTATAACCCCTATAGAAATAATCACAATAATGTATGGGATAATCCTATGTTAAACCCACCAACCAGTTGTAAGATATTGTAAGTAACTGGATGATTTGATATATTTTGATCATGACCGAAGCTGTCGTGACGGAATTCGACGGAATGATGGTTTAGATATGGGGAATCATCCGCAAATGGCTGTATGATGTGATTTTCAGGTGAGTGAATTAATTCAATTCAGCCAGAATGATATAGCGATTACATAACCCCAATAGGGGAAAAACGATCCCCTTTAATTGTAATTGTTGATGGCATTGGGTGAATCCCACATTAGATTGATCCCCTACTAAACTAGGCTTTTGGATGGAATATGTGGAGATTTGTCAGTTTTTGGAAGGGAATGGGCTGGGAGTTTTTGCGACACTTTCCCGCCACAGGTGTACGGAATGCACACACAATTGGAAGGAAGACTGAGACGTCGCGGAATCCCAGCTGGATTTCCATCATCTGCGACAGATCCGCCAAAAAAGAGCTGCGAGCGAAAGGTCAGTGATGAGAGCACGTGGGGCATCACTAGCTGCAAATACCCTCCGGTAATTTAACAGTTGGCTATTGAAAATACTCCATTTAGTTCATTGATTTACCTATTCATAGTGATTTTCTATAGCTATGTTGGTTTACCGGAGGGTGTGTATATATATATGTGTGTGTTTTTTCTTCAGTGATAGACACCCAGCAAGAAACCCTTGGGTGTAGCATTGGAGTTGGTATTCTTTGGTGATTCTGGGGCCCCATGGTTCTTGTCTGAAAATGGGGTCTCAATTCCAATGGATTCTCCCTATTGAAGCAGATGAATTGGGGGCCTACCCCTTTTCCAACAAACTCCGATTGGTGGTTTGGAACTTTTTATACTTTCCCATATATTGGGAAGAATCATCCCAACTGACTAATCTTTTTCAGGGGGGTAGGTCAACCACCAACCAGAATTCATTCAGGATATGCAGATGTTGGTTTTCAGATGGACATGCCGGAAGCCACGCTTGACTCAGTTGCTCAAACAGTGCGATTCATCGACGAGATTCCGCAGCATATTGTTCACGCTAAAGCATCGTCACTTTAAGATCAAGTCATTTTGTCGAGAACCATCCAAGAATTACCCAAAACTTGAAAATCATCCAATTAATCATCCAAGATCATCCAATTAATCATCCAAGTCAATCATTATCCAATCTGATGAGTAGAAAAATACCAACAATCATCGAGCAAAATCCTCCAATGTCTCACTCTCTCAGCATTTTTCACATCTGGCGCCATGATCTCTTCAGGGTTGAGTCTGAAGCCTTCCAATCTGCCCGGGAAGGCATGCTTTCTTCCAGGATGATGGGCCCGTGCTCAATAACCCCATGCCCAATAACCCCAGTGACGAATCGAATCCTGGCAATGTTCGTGATCTGGAAAGAAACATGGGCAAAACATCAGCCCATGACCCATTGAAAATGACCAGATTTATCGAATTACCAGATGTCAAAAATGAGTTCTTATTCTATGGTTAAATATCATTAATAAAGATATTTAAAGTATACGGTTTTCTCTTTATGGGTAGTTCGGAATGACAGGCACTTGTTTAAACAATTGTCGTTATGGATATGTTTCATGATTTAATTTGTCAGCCTACATGTGCATTCTATCATTGATGATGGGGATCATTCATGAACAGTTTCATATCGGGTAGACCTGCACCACCACTTCATGACACCCAAGAATGATCAACCGGATTTCAGTGGCAGCTGATGGGTGGGGCTATTGCGCTGGAACTTTTTTGGGTGGCAAGAGAGCTCATATCTTGGAAGGCAGATGTGCTGTAGCAGTAGGATCCTATGAATTCCTGAATTTTATTTTACAGGAAACCCCTATAAAAATCACACTTTCCCGCATTTTGTCCATTTTTTTTCTACCAGCCAATTCATTGATATGGATTCTTGCGACTTAAGGTGTCGTATGGGGGGGTTGTGGGTTTGGTGTCTCCATCAATCGTTGGAAAATCCCATCTGTGATGGTTAAGCTTCTATCTAAACAGATTGAACTGTTGGTTAGAATTATATAGCTTCGGGTTTGATCATCATTTTCCATATCCAAATCGCTTTGAGACAAAATCGAAATCATCTAGTGCGTGTGAAATATTGCCAAATTCTCATCCCAAATTCATTGTTACCCCATTGATATCCCCATATATCCCCATTATATTCCCAATAATTATCATGTTAGTCATTGGGATGCTGTATTATTATATGCCCCGAGTGGTGAACATCCCAAATATCATCATTTGGTTAAGCAACGTAATAACCAATGTTAATAGGTAAAAGAATAATGATACAAGTCATTGACTATAGAGCTCGTCATTTGTAGATGACATCATGTTTAAGTTTAACAATGTTTAACATATATGGCTTAAAGCGGAATTTCATCATGTATCAATGGGCCCGAAGGCATCCATTGACCATGGCTTCACTGCAAAATCCCCGGGAAAATTCCATCATTTTCCATCGCCATTCCCTTCAAAGCTCGACCAACTCGGTCCAGACCTTGGCCTTCACCAACAAGTGCTATGTGTCGCAGTCGGACCTGCTACAGCTCTGCCCCTCCAGGGAGACTTCCCCTGGTGCAGGTCATGGGAAAAAAGACAAAAGACCATGGCTTCCTGAGGAAAAATGAGAGCTATGGATGGTTGACCTTCAAAGAAATAGATGGTTTCATCATGTTTATATCATATATATATCTAATTTTTCTTTGGATATGACTGACTTGTAGCTTGAAACACGTACCTCTCTTTGACATCCATCACCGGTGAATGGCCGTCGACGTTGACAGGTGGAACTGGCAGCTACATCGAGGTCAAAAGCTGCGTCTTCAGTGTGGAAGCCCATCGCGCCATGGAACCAGGGACCATCGCTTTCAACAAGGTGAACTTCGGTCGGAGCCATGGGATTTATCACGGTTTCATGGGGCGAAACATGGGGATATAAAATATGAATGAGAAAATCTAGGCATGGGTGAACTTCATCATGAAAATATGGTGCATGAATATCTATGTTCTGGTAATCTAAGATTGCTATATGGAAGACATTGAAAAGCCACACTTTTTAAATAGGTAAATCATCTACAAACAGGTCATTATCCATAGCTATGTGAGTTTACTGGAGGGTAGTGGAATTTTCATGGCAAAATTTGACGGTGAACCAAGAATACCTCATACATCAATGATATGTAACTGATGATGCTGAAAAACACATGGGGGTACAAATGGTCTCTAAGGCAACCATTTCATGCGGGGGAAAATAACTCCGATACACCCCTTAGGATTGAACCAACCATTTTAATTATGGGGAATATTAATTTTTCTGATATGTACATACATACATACATATATATATATATAGCCATGAATAGCATTTCAAGCAATCAAGGTTTGCATCTTGTCTCAAAATGATTGATTTCCTTAATTTCCGTCATCTTTCATGTTGGAACTTGACATTTTCGAAGGGATTTGGAGTTGACATGTTGCTTAAACCCCAGGTGCAGCGGGAGTTCGCTCGAATTGGGCTGAACCAGGAGGTTTTTGCCAAACAGTTCACTTTGCCAAAGGGCTTCGACCTTGGGACCTGCAAGTTGGAAGTGGATTACTTCCTGAAACCAGCTGCAGACACTCCGAAGCTTGAGGTGAAAGACGAAGAGCTGGAAGAAATCATGAGGAAAAACTTCCAATTTCAGGTCTTCACCGTTGGCCAGACGATCGCAGTTGACTACAACGGCACCCTGCTCAAGTTTGATGTGCGAAGTTTGATGCCACCGGATTCCTGGACCTGCTCAGTCGGAGCTTTGGAGGGTTACCACCTAAGAAAAAGATAAAATACTGGGGGTTCAGGAAACCCCTGGCTTCACATGAAGATGTTCCAATTTGAATAGGCCCCCGGATTCGGCAAGGATTTGGGCGATGGTGCAGCTGCAGCCCAGAAGCTGAACAGCGGCCTTTTGGCCGCGCTGACGGATTTGGACTTTCAGCAGGGTCCATCAGGCAAACTCCACGTGTTGAGTAACAAGATCCAGCAGCGGAGTATCTTCAGACCGGACTTCAACTTCGAAGATTTGGGCATTGGTGGCTTGAGTAAGCTGCTAGTTCCTGCTGAAAGCAAACATTGTTTTTCTTCCACCATCACGGTCCCGTCCATGCACTGATACATGTTTCAATGTTTTTTTTCAGCGTTCGTACGTTCAAAGTCTTACCACCCTGAGATCTCCCATTTTGAGGCTTCCACTTCCACATTTATCTGGGTGATTTTTGGTGCCTTGGGTCCACTCCCTTCGCCACCATGCCATACCATGCCACCAAGATCCACCAAGGCAGTTTGGCGACATCTTCCGGCGCGCCTTTGCGGCCCGGGTCTTCCCTCCACACATGATCCGGGACCTGGGCATCAGCCACGTGAGGGGCATGCTGCTGCATGGCCCCCCCGGCACGGGGAAGACGTTGATCGCCCGGAAACTGGCGAAGTTCCTTGGAAGCGGCGGGCCAAGGTGAGGGGGACATGTCCCAAATGGCTGAATCTGGTAGATATGGGAAATTTGTAGGGACACGTGTTTCATGGTGTGTCATTTTTTTTGTTTCATTGGGCTGGGATCAGCACATCCGAGGTTCCTGAAAGCTGCGGAACCCAAAATTGTGAACGGACCAGAGGTCCTGAACAAATATGTGGGACAAGCAGAGGAAAATATCAGGAACTTATTCGCTGATGCAGAGAAGGATGAGAAGACTTTGGGCGAAAACTCTCCTTTGCATGTGGTGATTTTTGATGAAATTGATTCTATCTGCAAATCTCGAGGGTCCACTCGAGATGGAACCGGAGTGCACGACAGCATTGTGAACCAATTGCTCTCGAAAATCGATGGAGTCGACTCATTGAACAACATCCTGCTGATCGGAATGACCAACAGAAACTGGTTGGGTTTGGAATATTTTTGATTTTCCATAGTGGCATATGGGATAATCATCCCAACTGACTTTCATATTTTTCCGAGGGGTAGGTAGCCCCCACCAACCAGGAAAGGATTTGATCGATGAGGCCCTACTGCGGCCTGGGAGGTTGGAGATTCACGTGGAGATCTCTCTTCCTGATGAGCATGGCCGTGTGGAGATTCTCAACATTCACACCAAGAGTATGAGGGACAAGGGCTATTTGGAGAAAGTGGCTTGGTTGTATAGCATTTAGTTGCATTCTGAAATGCTGCGGAGCGATCTCGCACTGAAAATTCTTGCACACCTATTTATTTCAGCCCTTTCCAGGGTTGTTGAGTGCTAAAATGCGCTAAAAGTAGGAGAGTGACGGAGAGTGATGACTTTAAGTAGTCGACTTGGTCAACTTGCCGCAGATGCCATGCCCCTTCAATTGAGCGGGAAACCTCGGGAAACCTCAAGCAAATTCCCTTAGTTTGTTGTTGATTACTTGTGCAACATCCCCATACTGCCCATACTCCGTCATTTCCCATCATTTCCCATCGGTCGATTTTTCCACGTGATATCACATGAGATCCTCCTAAGCTCCCTTCGGTTTGAGGTTTTCCCAGGCCATGGTAGCCATGGGAAATCGTCCAAGTCTTGACTGCTCAAGACCCATGGCTTCCCCTGTTTTTTCCCATATGTTTCTATCAATGGATTGATTTGTAGAAGGGAGAGCCAACAGTTATCTGGTTTAGTTTTTTCCACGTTTCCCAAGTCTGGGGCTTTTCTGCAGGTTCTCCCATGTAAAAATCCCAATGTGTTGCAGTATGATCAGTATGCCGGGCCTCCGTATCCAGTACCCAGCTACTCGGGTAGCGCTGGGCCCCTGGGCCATGACCTCAGGATGTTTCCATCCCATCGATTGCCTCCAAGACCAAGAACTTCTCAGGTGCTGAGCTCGAGGGACTGATCCGTTCAGCGACCTCTTACGCACCTTGGCGCGGTGAAGTCGAAGCGACAGTGGAAAGCACAACCGAAAGGGGCAAAACTGACACAGACATGCACAGAGATGGATAATTGGATAGAGAATATATCATAATATGTTATTGATTATTATTGTGTGTGTGTTGCATATGTGTGTATATATATTGTATGTACTGTATGTAAGGATTATTAACATAACATAAGCATTACATAGATCCAAAGATCCCATCGACAGTGACGTGTGGCAACGTGGCAACGGCGACTTCGCTGCGGCGACTTGAGGCCATGAACAGAAAGGTGAGTTTCACAGACCTGAGCATCAAAGAGGGTGACTTTCGGATTTCCAATGAGGATTTTGAGCTGGCCCTTGACGAAGTCAAACCGGCCTTTGGTCAGCACAGCGATGATTTTGAGAAATGCATCCCCTTTGGGATTCAGTCCTTTTCAGAGGAGTTCAAACATACGGTGGGGTCATGCAAAAGCATCCTGGAGCAAGTGCGGAGCTCTAGCCATACGCCCATCATGAGTTTGCTCTTGCATGGCTCCAAAGGCTGCGGAAAGACGGCCCTGTCCGCCTTTTTGGCTCAGGGATCAGACTATCCTTTCGTGCGAAGGATTGGTAGCGACAAGTACGTGGGATATTCCGAGCAGGCCAAGATTTCAGCCATCGCCAAGATCTTTGAGGATGCGTATAAGAGTGACCTCTCCTGCATCGTGTTGGACGACATCGAAAGGTTGGTCGACTATGTTCGAGTTGGACCTCGCTTCTCCACTCCTGTCTTGCAGGCCCTGTTCGCGCTGTTGAAACGACCACCTCCAAAGGAAAACAGCCGACTGCTGGTCATTGGAACAGCTACCGATGCTCAGTTTCTAGAGGACGTCGAACTACTGCACGCCTTCAATGTGGCCCTGGCCATCCCCGAGTTGTCAAATCCGTCCGAGTACAAGGCGGTTTTGGAACCTCTACCCGGGTTCACACCCCCTGCCGTGCAAGAGATCAGCGCCGGGCTCAGCGGGCAGCGGGTTGGCATCAAAACCCTCTTGCTGGTAGCGGAGATGGCAGTCCAACGTGAGAATCCTGTACAGATTGGAGCCTTCAAGGACTGTTTGCAGCAGTGTGGCATCCAAGTGTAGACAATGTATAACAATGTAAACAGCAACTGCCCTCGTGTACTTGACCTTGACAGAGGATAGGACTATAGAAGTGGATATGAAGCTATTTTTCATTGCTAGATGGCATTACCAGAGGTCAATTAGAATCTTTTGAAGTTGACGGAAGTTGACGGAAGCCACATGCGCGGTGACACCTCGAAAAGCATCGTGTCAAGGCAGTGCAGTTTGCCTTATAGCGCCCGTACAAAAACCGTGAAGCAGACAGCAGCTGATGAATTCTTCAGTGGATTGGTGGGGAAAATCTGCAGGAAACCATGGTTTCCCCATGTTTCTAAGGGTGGCATCTGCAGAGTTTAACTTAAGAAACATTGGGAGTTCTGATTTGTCACATCGGCAGACATGTCGAAATTGACTCAGCTGTGGTTGACATGTTATGCCAACTGTTCTGGTGTTTCTTCCGCTGGGCAACGCTGGGCAGCTTTCAAAGAACCAATCACAGGCACTGAGCATCCTACAAGGAAAGGAAGCAGCAAAGTTTGAGTTTGAACAAGCGCTGATTTCTGGAGAGTATTTCTGGAGAGTATAGCCCCAAACAGATCAAAAACCATGGTACAGTTACTGTATCCCTTTGGGGGTTGCTATAGATGGCATATTTACACCGTTCAATACACATGCACATGGTCCCCGTCAAGGGGGATGACCTCACTTCAAGGGATCTACGAACGGGAATTGTCAGCACATATTGAGCTGTTTAGCTTAAACAAAAACGTATTTGAGACTATAGTACCGCACATTTGTCCACATTGATATGCAATTTTAGGTCAAGTATTTCACAAAAAATCACCAGATATTTCACGACATTTGAGACATGTTTAGCATTGTTTAGCCCATATGGGTAGCCATATCTTGCCATTTCTGCAAGCCCATTGAAGTACCTGAGATTCATCGAGATTCCACAGATACCCTGGGAGCTGCGCCGCCAGTGAGGATGAGGCCGGCAGCAGGTGCGGCAATGGGGATTCAATGGGATTGATTTCATGGGACAGATATGGACAGATCATGAAAATCATGATGGGAATAGTCTTGAATGACTAGAGTGTACAGTGTACCATTGTTTTTTGTTTATCATGTAAACTAATTTAACAGTGTGCTATGGAACATTGTCCATTTAGTTTGCTGATTTACTGATGTTCCATAGCTACGTTAAATCACAAGAGGGCATTCATGATCATATGACGTGTTTTGTTTTTAACCCATCATGATATGATGATGTAATGATGATATCAAACAAATAACCTCAGGAGTCATAGCCTGGTGCCTACACTATGCATTCACAGATACCGTGGCAGGCTGTCAAAATGGACACTGGATGGGGCTTGAGCGGCCTGAGGGAGCCCGATCAGTCGCAAGGACTGGGTGTTGGTATTTGATCTTTTTCTGACCAATGTCCAGTAACAAACTATCTGGCTGGTGGTTTGGAACAGTTTTTATGTTCCATAATATATGGGATAATCCTTCCCATTGGCCCATTGACTCATATTTTTCAAGATGGTTGAAACATGTTAAAACCACCAACCAGCTATACAACCACTCAGCTTGTCCTCTCGTTTGACGACCGCTTTAAGGAGATGCTTTGCGAGTGGGTGCTCTCACACGGCTCAAAGGTTTTGTGCGTTGGCCTTAGAGACTTGCGGTTCCTTTTTTTCCGCTGAACCAATGGGGTTCCCCAATGTTCGTGACTGATTCTGGATTTGCTGAAGATGGAGCTTTATACTTTCCCGTGTTTTAATACACTCTTTTGTGAACCTATTGCTAATATGTTTCATTTTCTCTGCGAGATCTTAAGCGAATCCAAGTATTGATCGGTTGCAGTGATGATACAAATTTAGCCAATGCCACCCATTACTCCCGTTGATCAAGATTGTTTTCTTCAGGAATTAACTTCCATGCATGTGTGGATGTGGGTTTTCCAAGGTCCGTTTTGGGAGAAGAACTGACGCTCTACTGCACATCTTTTTTGGGGATGGCAGAGGGCAAACTGCTTGAAACCGGAGGTATTTCGAGGCGGAAACAGCATGGACTCCATTTGCTGATCTTGCGCCCTCCAAGTACTCATGCAAATTGGTATCTTACACCATAGTTTTAGTAATTCAACCCACTTGTATGGGTACTTGGAGGGTATAGGTAGACACAAGTTTGGTCAAAGTGTTCCAACTTCACAATTCTCCTCCCACACAACCGAGTCTAGCCCAAAGTAGCACAGAACCTCTCCTGAATTTCCTCTTGGATCCTTGAAAATCTAGCATAGGCCGCCGGATGCAATAACTGACACATGGTCATACAGGACATGGGGGTTTCCTAAAATTCGGGGTGCCCCCAAGTCATCCAAAATTAGAGCATTTTAGTATTGAAACACATGATTTTGCATGTTTCGGTATTGACAGCTCCTGTCCCGATCTGTCTTCTATAAACTTGCGCATGTATGGACACTGCCTAAAATACCTTTTCGGTAGAAGATTATGGTTAACACAGTGATAAATTGATTACATAGCAACATATATTGATATGAGTCCTCACCATTGGTTGGCTCCATATTATTAGGCACCTATATATATATTTATCATGTATGGAAATACTAGAGCAATAATTGTTTGGTTTATACAGGTTAGTATGCTGTATGTTTTGCAGATAGCAATCTATTCGACACAATCTCATAACACATAATACTCTATATGGCCCATATTAACTATGTTTTTGTTGTGTCAACTATTTAAATCTAAATAATACATGGCCAACACATGACTAAATACTAATACGTGATTACCAATCAACACTGGCCATGTTGATTAATCATATTGATAGAATAATTTAGATCAAATCCATGTGATTTTCCGTACATATACATACATACATATATATATATGTACTTACAAACCCATACTAATCAGTTATAATGGATACCAAGCACTGTTATTGGTAGCTACGTTCGTTTTTAATATACTACCACTCCTATCATTACACGATACTAACTGATATTAAGATATACTAATGATACATATCACACTAAAGGATACTAATCTACACATTTATGTATATATATATATATGCATATATATATACATATGTATATACATAAACGCGTATACATATATATATATAATATATATATATATGAACCATATCATTAACCATATCATTAACCACTAAGAAAGCCAATTGATTCGCCTGTTCTTGCTGAGGCGTCGAGACTTGGATTCAGGCACCGTTTCGAAGGGAGGGATGTGGCTGATGGATCGTATGATTTTCCGTGCTAAATGCAGCTTCAACCAAGAGATAGTTGGGAGATTTTAGGGATTACACTAAAAATGGAGAAACTTACATTTCTTGATTGGTTAACACTCCAATTTTTGAATCTTTTTGATTGGTTTTAGGGGTTTATCATGATTTAAAATTTAACCCATCAAAAATGGGAGATTCAGTCAAGATATATGTTTCTACATGGAAGGATTTAAGAAAAAACCTACTGAAAGCTGCAACTTTTTTTGGAGGAAAACAGGCGTGACATCATATTGTCGGGGCTTTCATGATTGGACAGATGAGCGGCAATAATGCGGAAAGTAGAAACGCCTTAAGAAAACAAGACTTCTGGCTGCAGACACGTCACCAGGCTGTGATTGCTGGGTTTTCATGTCGTGGGGTCGTTGGAGCCAATAATTGTACCTTTCATCTGCACATTGCAGCTGAATTTTCTCGCAGCTGCACAACCCAACAAGGGAACACCTGTGATTGCTATGCAAGAACGGGTGATGGAACAGGGAAGAGACATTGCTGGCAACAAATCATATCCTTTGCCCACTGGGAGATGTTTAATATTAAGGGGAACAGACTAAAATCCATTATGTCCTATTTATATCCCACTATAGACTGAATTCTATTATAAATCCTTAGAAAAAACATATAAGTCCATTATATCCTGTGAAAATCCCATGTTTTTTCCATTTATATTCCATATGAATCCATGATGGTGCAATGCCTTGGCTAATCATCATAGTTACCCCGACAAATAAATGATTATAAATGGTACCACCCATATAAATCCCATATAAATCCCATACAAATCCCATACAAATCCTATATAAATGGTGAATCACCATATCAATCCCATTTATAATGCATCATAACTCTCATCGAACTCCATGACGAATCCCCCTTGCCAGGATCTCCGGACTCCGAGGGTTGGCAACTCCGCCAGGCAAGCGTGGAAAGCCGCCAGGCGACAAGCGAAAAGGGGGAAAAAGGGTGAAGAAAACCAAGAAAAATGATGGTTTTATGGTGGTTTATGGCGATTTTATGATGATATCATTGTGTTTTTATGGTGGTTTTATGGTGGGAGAATGTTTTTAATGGTGCTTTCTGGTGATTTACCACCCCCAAAAAAAAGGGATTTCACCAACAAAACCCCTAGCAGAATGATGATATGGGAGTTTCTTAAGTCATGGGGGATCCCCAAAACAATTCAAAACAATGGGCTTCAAAACTAAATGGTCCAATAACTTGAATGATTTTGGGAAGCCCCATTTTAGGAAAGCTCCATATTTCATGCAAAATAATTGCATATTAGTGGGTATCTATCAATGAAATATTGGTGAGTATCCTTTGGCAATCAAACATGGCTAGCCGTGACATCCCCAAAGCCAATGGAGGTTTGTAGCTGGGAAAATCGTCCATGAATGATGGTAAATCCTTTAAAAAACTGATTGATTGATTTAACTATAACTGTGGGGAAAATGGGATAATAATGAGAAGATAGGCATCAAACAATGATGAACAATAGTGGGTCAACCGGCAAGAATTGGGATAAAAATGGCATAGAACCGGGATAGAATTGAGTGGGGTATATTGCGCCAACAATATAATGTTTGGGTGTTTCTGAAACTTGGGTATGTGCCCCACAAAAAGAAGTTTCATGGGGAATACGATGACTAACGAATGGATTGTGGTGCAAACCCCAATTGAATCTGGTTGGGGATCAGATTCAACTTTCGCTATCTATTCACTATCTATTCATACTTTGATCGAAGAGTCGGTTGTCTAAAACCCGGGTGATCCCATGTGATCCCCACATCTTGACCCAAAATGTACCCATGGGATGGAATGGGATTCCAACTTTTGTCAATTGGAATTCCAGGATCCTAAAATGGAGGTACTGTACCATATAAGGCCATATTTTGTGGGGATATTCCCTTACATAGGCCTTATATATGGTACTTGGATGGCCCGCGGGGTTGCTAAGTTTTACAATGTTTTACAGAAGTTGTAGGACTTAGCTAATCATTTTACATTGTTTGCTAGATAGGCTAATGACTTAGCTAAACCCTTAGCTAAAGGGTTAAGTTAACCATTTAGCTAAGGGTTTAGCCAAAGGGTTAGCCAACTTGGCTAAGGGTTTAGCAAAGCAGCTAATGTATAGACAATAGCATTTTTTGAAGAAAAAAATCAATTTGTTTTCATGTTGTTTTCGAAAAAAACAAATATTTTTTTCAATTTTCACAATGTGTTTTTTAAGATTCCATGGTGCATCAGCAAGCAGTGTGTAGCCAATGCGGCTGACCAGCATAGAAACCATGCAATCACACAATCCAGAAAATCAAACACTGCAAGGGAAGCAAACAACAACTGCACGTGGGTTTTTCACCTGCATTCCACTGGCAGTAGCACCATGACCTGGCCATTTTTCAGGCCTCTGTGAAACAGAGAACATTTGATCTCAGAAGTGCTGACAAACTGTGGGTTATCTTGCGTTTTGCAAACCCAATGTGAAACATGTTTTTCCATGACATCCCAAAAAGATAGCAAAGCTACATTCTCCCCATTGACTTCAGCAAAAAGCCACACTTCACAAATTTGTTTTGTTGATTTCAGCATTACCACATCTTTCTTGTTGGCCAATCCAGAAGGAGACAGATGTGCACAAACACACATATAGCAGGACTCAATAGTCTCCCCCCACATTTGTGCAAAGAGGTTGTTTACCTTCTTTGTTGCTTTGCACTTTTTTTTTAACCTGGCATGTTGCCCAAAGTAATCTTCATCAAGCAAAAGAGCCAAGTCATGAGCCACAACTTGCACCAAGACATGCTTTTCATAGTTTCTGGTGTTTTGAATATCTTGGGAATACCTCTTGACAATTCGATGCTTCCTTTCATGCACCCAGCAGCTCACCAATAGAGAGAATCTCTCGAGGTGTGACCCCAAATGCACCAACCAGTGGAATTTGCTGTGCATCCACTCGCTCCAGCCACATTCTTCATACTTGTCCTGGATCTGACTGACCTTGCTCCTGATGTTTTGAGGGGATGTGCATCCATGAGGAATGGCTTGTAAAAGCCCCAGCAAGTCTGCAACTGCAAGTAAAGCTTGACATTCTTTGTCACAATGGCCAGATTTCAAAATGACAGTGAGAACAAACATCGCCAAAATTGGCATGAGTGCCAGCACTTCAGAAGCATTGCACTTGAAGGTCTGAGCTTCTTTGTTTGATTTCTGTCGTTTGGTGCTGAATAAGCTTTGTAAATTGATAGACTTGGATTGTGGCAATGTCCACAAAGCCATGTACCCTGCAATCATGGGGTACAGGTTCTGTCCAGTTTTTTTGCCAGCACCTTCAAGAAAGAGGTAAATAGTTGTTTGACAAACACCACCCACACACATCAAATGCATCCAATCATGCATGAACTGGCTTGCAGGCTTGAGAATAGGTCTTGGAGAAGTGTGCAAAGAATCATCAAATAGAAGCCCATGTGGCTGGTAATTCATGCCACTTGCTTGCTGCCAAAGATTGAAGTCAGCTTTGGACCTAGGCCAGTGGCACAAGCAGCAAACCCCAACATGGCATATATAGGGACCTTCACCCAATACAAAACCACACCATAACAAAAAGTAAGCCCATAAACCCAGACACATAATGCCATAGTTGGTTCTCAGCCTTTGGATTGAATTCCAAATGTCATTGTCAGAAGTGAACACACAATCTGCCTCCTTCACATTATCTGTAAGTAAAATTTCTCCTCCTTCTTCATTTGTCAGCTTTGACCTTTTGGAGATAATGTTTCTGCATAGCAGGCAGCACCTGGTACCACTGTCGCCCTTCACAGAAAACACTGCCCTATGTGCTGCCCCATCTTGCACAAGACACCCCAGTTGAATCCAGATCCTGCAATGGTCTCCATCAGGACCTTTCAATAAAATCCCTCCTTCTTGAAGATCACACATATCATTCTGAAAAATTTTTTTGATGATTGCTTTCATCAATTGTCCAATCCCAGCAAAACAGTGTGTCAGAAAGGATGACCTGCAACATGCCAGAGTCAGCCATGCACATTCCTGGCTTAAGACTTCAGATCCAAACTGTGCAATAGATGCATAGACAAGCCAGCACTTGCGCCTGTTGTCAGCTGATAATACATTACCTGGCACCACCTCATCTGAATAGAGAATCAGCTGGTATGGCGAATGTGGTGTAGGAGGTGTCTTTTGCATGGTGTCCTTCAGCAACTTGTAGAACCCACCTCCTTGTCCAAAAGCTGCAAACAGTAGAGCATGCAAATTGACAATGGTAGCTGTGCATGGTTGTTCACCTTCCAAGGCAACCTCACAGAACATAGGGCCATATTCATCATACTTTGAAAGTTCCTTGTGGGTTGCCTCCCTGATGTGTTTTCTCTGATGTAGGTCAATGGCACCATGTTTTTGCACTTCTTCCAGCACACCTGCAAGTGCAGATGCAGTCATGTGAGGCAATTTCTTCCCCAAATAGTGCAGCCTTCTGAGCTTGGAATCCCTGTCCATGGCGCTGGGAGCTATATACCTGGAACCCACAGAATGAAGACAATAATTGGCCAACTGCTTTGTTATGTGACATTTCTCAATGTGAGCAAGAAAACTTCAACCATATGATATGTCTATTTAAAAAAATGAGATAGTGTTGCCCTAATGGCATTGCAATATATGCAAGGTTAAACCCAAGCTGCAAACAACAGCTGACAAATTGCTGCAGCACATGCAGGCTGCAATGCTCTATAGTCAGCTTGCCCTATGCTATGAGATGTCTGTAGCCAATAGGCATGCACATGAATTGATACCATTGTTTAAATCCAGCTGCTGCAATCTGCAATCAAATCCAGCCATGTGGCTACAAAAGTTCATGGCTCATGAATACACCTGCTGTGTTACAAGCCTTTTGGCTGGAAAAGCTGTTGCATAATGCCATGCAAGCCAGGAGGCTACATGCCTCATGCCATGCAAGCCAGAAGGCTACATGTCCCATGCCATGCAAGCCAGGAGGCTACATGTCTCATGCCATGCAAGCCAGAAGGCTACATGTCTCATGGTGGCAGACCACATGGTCACATGCACACTTCCTGGCAAACATGTCAGCACATTGGCTTTTCACACACTGCTGCATGTGGAGAAACACAAAGAAGTATTGCACAATGTATTGGGCACTAATTTGAATCTTGAACTGCACATGCAGGAACAAGTAGACACTTCAAAGGCATGTGCAAACCCAGGAGTGATCTGTCAGCCTTTTTCCCAGCCAAAGCTTTCTAAGCTGCAAAGACATCTAAGAGATAAACTTGCCACAGCTAAGATGACCCCTGCAAAGAAACATGTACTTATTAGTACACTTTGCACCCAAACTCAAATGGCTCAGCTGCAGTTGCTATCCCACAGCTCCACAGCAGTAGCTCTGGCTTTCTTGGCAAGCTCACAAGCATCCTCTTCTGAGTGGCCTGTTTTGATGGCCATTTGCTTGCACTTGTGGTAGTGCTTGTCATAGTAATTCCTTGGTGTACTCTTGAGCTGAGCCTCAGAGGGAGGTGGGACCTTGTACTCCAAGATCTTGGCCTTTTTGGAGGCAGACACATTGCTGCTGGAAGGCCTTTTCATGATAGCTGGCTTGGGGGAAGCCTTTGCTTTGCCTTTGGCATTGGCCTTTGTCTTTGCCTTTGCTTTTGCTTTTGCCTTTGCACTTGCTTCCCTGTGCTTCAGTGCATTAAATGCTGCTGTCTCATAGTCAGGTTCCTCAGCCTGGGTGTCAAGGCTGTCATTGGACTGGCCTTTCTTGGTGCCAATGCTGTCCTTGGACTTGCCTTTCTGGGTAGAAGGTGTAGCAGCTGGCTCCTCTGTGGCATCAGGAGGGGCAGGTGTATTGCAAGGCAGCACCAGCTTGGAATCAGTATTGTGGTTGGGTGCCTCACCTGGTGCATCCCC